ACAAGATTTGCGTGATGCTGCTACACCTGAAATCCGTCAATTTTATAACTTTTTATTTCTTAGTTAACTGCGCCTGCCATTGCGTCTATACTTTCCTCAGATGTGAAGTCCAAGCCTAGTGGGATATCAACTTTGTCGAGCAACCCTGTGGCACGTCATGTGACTCCCACGCAGCAGGCCTCACTTTTTGCCCCATGCTTGGCGTAGTTGTGTAGTAGCGTCGTTTTTCTCATTCGTTTGGCAGTGCTCGTTGTTTTTCTAAGGTGTGATTTCTGTGCAGTCTAATCTGCGCAACGGACGTGGTACGGATTTAATGATGACTTTGAGGAGAGGCGACTTAGCTTGAGTGCGAAAAGCATGGCGTCACAAAAGCAGTGGAAGTCGCTAACGCTAGAAAGGAAGGTTACCCTAATAGGTGGATAGCAAAATCGTGGCTCACACAATAAATTGTGGGCTATGGTGCCCGTCTGCACCAACATCCGATTCGAGATGCCGTGATGCCATGCAGGCATTCTTGCAAGTGCCGGCGCTTTTTCAATGTTCCAACTTGCACTCGTGGTGCCCTTTTCTTACAAGTTGCTGCAAAAAATTCTGAAGTGCTATGCAGCATGGTTGAATAACAAATTAAATCACTATGATAGAGTTATAATGATGCGAGCGGACATTTTTTCATTGAAACGAATTGCCCCTCCGGACACATGCTTGTTGTTCTGCAACAAAGGTTATTATCGCGCATGTTTTGCCGCATACAAAAATGTTTTGCACATCATAAGATCACCAAATAGCCGTTCATTCATTTCCATGTTGATCACGTGCCCGTAAAGTTGGTTTTTCATTTACTTTTGAATTGCAAAGATACCATTTTGCACTCTATTTTGCGGATGGCCTTAGTATATTATGTTTCGAACATTACAAATGAAATGCAAGCGTAGTTGTTTGGCTTTTTTCTTTTTTACGTCTCTCAATATCCCTTTACATGAGGTGTTGTCCCTCACACACTCGAACAATGTTTTTCAATGCATGTGAAATTCTCTGCATTCAGCGTACAGTTGTGGAACATAGCCTTTAGGGCTATGAGTCGGAGTATAGCACAACCTATCGGCACTTCACGCTTGCAAGCCTGACATAACAGAAACGCGATACTATGCTTCTGGTTGCTTCAAAAGCGACTTTGATTATTTTACGTCCCACGATAACATTTTTTGAGTGACCATTTTGTTCTGTGGGCCATTTACACGCTCACCTATTCTCATAAATTTTACAGATAGCGATGCAGATTATGATATAAAGATATACTATATCAGCATACTTGATCGCAGAAAGTACGCGTACTTATGTAGACATCGTACGCATATATTAATATTTGAGAGCATGTGCACATGTGTGTGAGTGATTTTGAAGTGGTCTCTGTATGTGTATGCGCTCTAAAATACTAAATGAAGGTTATTCTGCAAAAGATTACTGCGTGTTTCAAAGCGTAAACGCATGCTGTGCTCGAAACCCATCTCTCAACGTTCCTCATTTTTGCTCATGTCCCCATCTCGCTTCGTTCTCTCAAATGCGTGAAATTTTACCTATTCATTCACAAAAAAAAGAATTGAAGAACACAATCCTTGAATGCGCGGCAGCAAAAGCGTCATAGAACGTGTTGCCTCCCTGATTACACTCCGCAGCAGGCACCTTGAAGCAGCGAAGGAATAGGCCTCGAACCGGAAGTACCGTAGCAGACGACGTGCTGTTTTGCTATCCACCTATTAAGGAAGTGAAGAAAGGAGGCCGAACAAAATCAACCATCGCGCAGGAGTTTGGCATCCTTTTGTCTACGCTTTTGACGGTGCTGAAGAACAAGCAAAAGGTGCTCGGTGGATATTAGCATAGCTTCTCCAGCCAACGAAAGCGAGTGCGTCGGTGACCGGAAAAATGACGATTGCTGAAATCGTTCAAACGGACACTAACGTAGGGGGCAGCGCAGACGATGCCGATGACGAACCACCTCGAGAGATGCCGACATCTGCAGAAACAAGAAATTCGCTGCGTTTGCTTCGAAATAAGCTGGAGTGCACCGGCGGGAAAGTTCATCTGATGCGATGCGTGAAGCAGCTGGAGGACGCCTTCCTAGGCCTGAGCATGACCGCAAAGCAGACAAGCATTAGGGAGTTTTTGTTCGCTAAATAAAATGGCAGTGCAGCAATATCCAGCTGGTTAACGTCTCTTGTGTGATTTTTTTTTTTCTTTTAAACTTTCAAAAGAATAAATATTAGAAACTGCTGCTGAAGGGTCAGTAAGTAGTAGTGATTTTGCCAGTAAGTAGTAGTGCTAGTTCAATATCACGACGGCCACCAGCACGCTGCGGCGTATGGAAGTCGTACTTTGACTAAGGCTGAGAGAAATTATACAGTGACTGCCCTGGAATGTCTTGTGGTTGTTTCCACCATCCAAGTGTAGACCTTATTTCTACTGTCGGAAATTAAAGATCATCACAGATCGTCATTTTCTTTGTTGGCTCATTGGACTACGCGACCCAGCTGGCCGGTTAGCTCATCGGGCCTTACGGCTTTAAGAATATAATTTTTCTGTGACTTACAAGAGCGGTGGATGCCACGCAGATGCCGACTGCTTATATCGTCTTCGATCTCTGAGTGTGGATACCGATGACAACGATTTCGATAAATACCTGGCTGCAATCCCCTTCAACTTCTCAAATTTGGACGTCTTCTGTCACGAGCAAGAGCGTGACCCTTCGCTGAAACCAATGATCAATGTGGCTTGTAGCTCTAAATGCGCCATGGCATTCGTGATTCATGACGGCCTACTATATCGCAAGAATTACTCCAGCCATGGTGCCACACTGCTCCTCGTTGTGCCAGAATGCCTGAATCTTGCAATATTTCAGGCCATGCATGATGACATCACGTCTGGGCACCTTAGATTTGCCCCGGACGCTTCACCGTATCTGACAACGTTTCTACTAGCCTCGACTCTGGAAGACCACCAAGCACTACGTGGCGAGTTGTGATGTCTGCCAACGCCACAAACAACCTACCACACCATTGGCCGGCCCACTGCAACCGGTTAGGCCGTCGACATCGCCATTAGAAAAAGTCGGCATAGATTTATTCGAGCCCCTTCCCCAAGTCTACCAACGGCCACCACTGGATTATTGTGTGCGTAGATTACCTGGCGCGGTATACTGAAACAATGGCGGTTGCTTCAGCCACATTATCTGATGTGTCATGGTTTCTTCTGTACTTCGTTATACTCCATCACGAGGCTCCTCATGTGGTGATAAGTGATCGCAGCCGGCAGTTTACCGCTGACGTTGTCAAAAAGTTGCTATGGCTTGGTGGATGCCAGCATCATCATTCATGCCATACCCCAATCAGACCAACGGTCTCACTGAGCGCACCAATTGTACCATCAGCAACATGCTTTCAATGTACGACGCAGCGAATCACAAGAACTGGGATGCCATATTACGTTTCGTTACATATGCCTCTAATACCGCGAAACACGAGGTCACAGGTTATAAGCATTTCATCCCCAAAGATTCCTCGACACCATGCTTCCTTTCTCGACGAACGAAAACGCGAGTGTCGCACAGACTTAGTGTCGCGCCGAAGAAGCTTGTCGACTTGCTCAGCTTTGAACACGTTCCGCCCACGCTCGTGCTAAAGACCGTTTAAACGCAAAACACCTGCCTGTGATTTTCGCTACGGGCGATTTTGTCTGGCTGTGGATGCCTGTTCAAAAGAAGGGACTTTGCCAGAAGCTTCTTTCCAAGTACTCAGGACCATTGGTCATTACTCAGTGCTTGAGTGACGTCACTTACGTCGTTGCGAAAGTGACAGCTTAGAACTGGCATTCGCGTAAGACACAAATAGTGCATATTGTCTAACTGAAGCCCTTCAACAACCGATCGCTTCTACTCGCTCGGTGAGCTTCGTCTTGCCCAGAGGAAAATGTAACGCAGACTGAAAGAGCGCAAAAGAATAAGAGGAAGGACTGGCTCGAGCAAGGGCTATTCAGCAGTGTCGGTTGAGCGCTGGCTTTTAAGTATAAATAAACCCATCACATCCGCAACAATATGTTGATGTTTACTATACTTTAAGCATATAAACCGGAATCACAAGCTTTTAAACTTGAAAAATTGTAAATCAATGAGAGGGTAACATGTTCATTTAAATTTAAAGTGAGGCTTCGCAGCAGCACGGGTTTCTCTTGGATAGGTGCTTTCACGGCTTTGCACCCCTCCCCTGCAGTGAAAACACCTTTACAAGAGTACATGTGAATTAATATACGCCTATTCGTTCATTTGGAATACTTCTAAATTTTCAGCAATTTCAATTATAATCGACTTGAGTTGGAATAAAGTAATATACGGTCGAATATTCAAGTATTCAAATAATCACACAAGCCTACATTATGTTGCTAGCCTTCCGGTGACAAAACATGTCTCCAGTATGATGCTGAACAGTGAAGGTAAATTCCTCTATTGCACTTTTACCACAGCTATCGATATTTTGCGGATATCAAGAAAGAACGCCAGCGTTCAGGTGTACTCTGTGGGGGAATGGATATGAATGGCAATGCATGGTTGTGTACCTCGGGCATGTGAGGACATGGCATTGCCCACCTAAAACTTGATCTTAGAATGACGTTTACTGAATTTGACCAATAAGAAGCTAACTTGGTTTGGACCATGGCTTGGACCATGCCCAAAATTAGGTCATGGCATTCTGGACACTGCTTCGGCCCATCCCAGATGTTTTAGTAGCTTACCCTGAAAATTGGCTTAGAACTGACCCATGCTCAAAAGCTAATTTGCCCATCACCAAAATTTCAGTGCGCACTAAATGAAAGAAAAGCAACTGTTATGCAGTGGCCTAATATTGCCTAACATGGCTACAGAATGTGCTTTTGTATAACACCATATGCTGCTTGGCAGAGCCAAGCTGTCTCTCAATGTTGAAGTTAAAGGAAGGCAGAGTGGTCATCCTCACTTGAGCAAGGAACGCATGTCGTTGAGGTCGTTGTGCACGGGAGTCCCCGTGAGGGCCCAGCGTGACCATGCGAGCAATGCACAGGCCGCCTTGGCACGCCGTGTGTGCAGGTTGCGGATATTGTGTGCCTCGTCCAGTACCAGGCGGCGCCACTTGACTGTAAACAGCGGGGACAGCTGGTGGGCAGAGAAGTGAGAATAAGAAGAGCTTCCATTTTTCTTTATTGTGATAGCAATTATTGGCAAACTCTACTGATTTTTGCCATCGTTGTCATGCCCAGGATACGTATATGTATGTATAAAGTATATAATAGACACAAAGAAAAATAAATGAGAAGAAAAAATTTCCAAGGCACCCACCTCAGCGCACTGTGTTAACCAACGGGGCCACAGAACTCATACAGTCTACAGTACTCTCAGTAAACGAAACCTGAAGGGACCGGAAAAATATGCTCCATTTAACAGGAGTTCCGTTTACTGAGAGGTGAAAATGCATGCAGAATACAAGCCCGAAACTAAGCATTGCAGAGGCAATAGTTCCATTTAAATAGTAGTTCCGTTTAACAAATTTACATATACTGAGTCTACTGTATCTCACTTACGGCAAGCTATGTATGTATACACCATTTACCTACTGGGTCACTGTCAATGGACTTGAAAGAAAACATTCTTGAACAAAGCATTTACTTAGTTTGGACAAGCCATACATGCTTTTCCTAAACATTGACATGTCAGATGGCTTGGTCAGTGGTTGGGTGGATTCACTGAAGCACATGTATGTTGGATGAAAGGGGCATTCCAACACGCCTCTGGCTTCACTTTAACTCTGAAGCAACAAGAAAAATTGCTCGCATCAAGTGCAGGACTACATTCGAGAATTAGCTGGTCCTGTCCCACCTGTGAATTTTGTTCCCATAAAAACGTACACCGCTACTATCACTTTAGACAGATAAACTCAACTCACTGCCCCAGATGAGTTGTGGTGACGTGTGCGCCGTTAAAACATCGCACAGCTTCATCGGCAGCCCAGTGTACATCTCACCGGGAACCTTGCGGACTGACGTCATGAACTTCTTACAGCACCACATCTGTGCGGTGTGCCTACAGGATTTGCTGAAGATAGTGGCTGGAGACTTCAACGTACTGTAATTTGACGTGAAAACCAGTGTCTTGCCACGTTTCTTGATGCCGAATTTGGCCTTCGCCTCCTTTTCGACGTCACATAGCCAGCAGCTATTCACAACAACAGATATTTAGATATTGTGGTTACTAATTCAAGCACAATCAACCATTGCAATAGGATGGGCGCTCGTTGAGCGCTCGTGCTGTGTGCCTCCTCTTTGCTTTGTGTCTGTGTTTACCCACGCGCTCCCAGTTCGCTGAACAATCAACCATGCTGACTACATTACGTACGTTTCCTAAATCTCTTAGTCTTACCTCGTATAACAGCCCGATGTGTTGCTATCGCATCCATTGATTCGGCTTTGTGCCAAAACTGTGACATTTTAATTGAAATGGACGCAAATGAAGGATTTGTTGGAGCTACCTTATTGTTGGGGCCCTAAAACACTATTCAACCTCCATTTTTTACTCTTGGGTTGTGTAGACTGAAGTACAGTCAAATCTTGATAATTCGAACTCTAAGGGGCCCGAAAATTTGTTCGAATTAAAAGAAGTTCGAATTGATGAAAGCTAAATAAACGGAGGGCTCTCCCTGCAGTGGCACATGTGCATTGAGCTAACACATGAGAAGGAAGTTTCAGAAAACTTACATTTATTCACAAATCATACGACATCCGTTATTGATTGAAGTAAGCGGTGATGCACGTCTGCACACGTTTGCCTTGCACTGAGTCAATCAATTTCGCATGCAGCTTGCAAAGCCTTTCTACTTCGGCTTCAGCGTTCTCCTGACAAGAGAAGCTGCGCGTGGAAATGTCTAGTGCCGACGCTTTCTAAAGACGACGATAACAACAGTTGTGCAGCGGAGCCTCTCCGCTAGGCAGCCGCAGCATGGGCAACACGTGACGAGAATCGAGAAGCGTCTCCACGCAGAGCAAAGCAGATCGGCATTGGAGAGAAAACCTCCACTCCACGACAGCTTTTTTTTTTTTGCTCTCTAAGCGTGCATCGTTGAAAGGAGAAGGGTGACGTGGCAGGGACGGGAAAGGGGGAAGTGTGGCACCGGCGCGTGAGATACCCCTCCCCCACCCCCTCAAGACGCACAGCCGTGCTCCCGCTAGGGCCAAGGGATGCAGAAGATAGTGCCCTTTTCCTTTCCTTCAACCACACATTCATTCGGCCAAGTGACAGCTTTCTTTTTGTTTTTCCTCTCTCTCTTTGCATGCGGCGTTGGAAGGAGAAGGGTTTTTACGTAGCAGGGATGGAAAAAGGAGAAGCCTGACACGGGCCTGCGGCAGATTGGCATTTTAGAGAGCGCAAACATTGCACCGCAGCCTTATCTTTCCTTTTCATTTCTTTCGCGCGCAGTGCTGAGGTGTCGCAGGTGCCGCCGCAGGATTAGGCCGGGTGCTGAGAGCATTTCCAGAGCGTGGTATGTTCGAATTAACCGTCGCAAGTGCTTGCACATTCATATTATCGGGCGTTTTTGCCCATTGGAATACACATACCTTTGACGGGACCTCATCGTGAGTTCGAATTAACCGGAAGTTTGAATTAAGCGTGTTCGAATTAATAGAATTCGACTGTACAAACAAACTGATGCGACAACGGCAGTAATAACAGCTTGAGGTATGAAGTCATTAGATTTATAAAAAATCAACAAAAAAAAAAAGAAGTGCCTACCCTCAACTCTATTTTTGTAACGTCACCTGACCACATTTCACTCGCCCTGACTAGCCCGGTAACGTAGAATGGCTCCCCCAATAAAATGGGCTGAAAGCTCATTTTTTCTGAAAAGAATGTTTTTCAGTGAACAATGAGACATATTTTTTCAAAAACTTTTAACAATAGAGAGCTGAAATATTGTAGATGTTATAAGAAGCTGAACATACAACAATACCGCCCTCAATAGTTGTCGTGTGTCACTCATAACATTAGGTCCCATAAAGGGTTAACGCTATAAAAGTGACACACTATACTGTGTCAGCTACGTGGTGTCAAGGGTTCTCCAGAAAATGCCGCCTCCGGTGCAGTATTCTAAATCTTATTTTAAAAATCAGTTTATCTAAAATGCTGATCATCCAAAGGTACCCCAGTGGATTGTTTCCCAAAAGTACCAGTGGGTGCAGGTGGTAAGTGTTACATGTAGACACGCAATGGCAATTGCATATTACTCTTAACAGTTCGTGGCATTCATCACAACTTGGTCGTTTCTCCTCCGTCAATGAGAAGTGATTGCGCGTGATGTGCAAGAACCCTATATGAAGCTGACACAGCATTACCTCAATTGAAAGTTCTCAGCGATGCTTTAAAATTGTGGAATTAAGTGCTCGTTTTAACAGAGCCCATTAATGTGTGGCACACACAAGCACAACATGCAATCTCAATGTTGTTCAGCCAATCACCATCATCACACTGCCCACAGTTCACTGCAGGACGAAGGCCTCTCCAAATCATCTCCAAGCCAATTGCACTTTGTTCCAAAAATTTTTCAAGTACATCTCCCCAGCTAACTCTCTGTTGCTTTTAAAATTAGAGCGAGAAGTGCATTTCGGGCGCCAAGCAAGTTCGAATATTGAAGTGTGAGTGCAAATTGAATGGATTATTTTTTAAATATTTCTACACTATTTCTAGAATACTTTTCGAATACTTCAAAGAAGAATTGCAGAATAAGAAGGAGGAGAGGATTCCAAAGAATACTATTGAGATAGCAACATGAAAGAGTTTCTTTTGGCTACGTCAATGAAGCACTGGTGGGGTAGTGTTTCATAGCTATGCAGGTCATGCAGAGGCCGAATTGCATTTATGTACATGATTTGGTGCAACCGAAGTACTTCCCAAATTTCAGGTCCAAACCACATCAATTCAGCCCTTACCTCGGCCACATCTATCATCACCAAGTTGGAATCAGCGTTTTCTTGAGTGCAAAACTGAACAACCGTAGCTGAGCCTGAAAAGCAGTTTTGCTGCAATACAAGAGTGTGACGGGTGAAGCATAATAAAAACCTGAAGGGGCCACTGCCAGTTAGGCGCTGACGGCATTTGTCTTTGGGAAATTCGAACACACCGAATAATAAAGTTCCAGTGCGAATTGAATTGAAGAGCAAACACTACCAGAAAAATATTCGGAAGATAAAATATTGGCCCACCCTTACTAAGAATCCATTTCATTGTTATTACTGACCATAGGTTGTTTACCACACACATTACATGAGTCACCTATGTCTCCGTATTTTCCCTAAACCTCAAACACAGATACCCTTGTTTATTCTGTGACCCATTATACTGTCTGCCAGTTTCTTAGTGTAATGCGTATCATTATTTATTCTATCACACACAGCACAGTTCTTAAGTTAACTTGATGCAGAATTTCTTTGTCACCCTCCACAGTTAGAGACCGCGATGGTGTAACGCTTCTCACTTCCGGGACCACTGGCAGCCATCACATATCTTGCCACGTGGGAAGGGTTGCTCTGTATCCAGTAAATGGAGCTCCTGTTCGAGTCATTGTACATGCGTGACGCACTCAAGACAATGAAGCAATCTAGTTAGCAAATCAAAGCCACAAGTAGGCTACGTGGTGCAAGACTGATGTGGTGCATATCAAAACAATTTTGGCTACACAAAAGAACACAAAAGGCAAATATTCCACAGGACGAGATAGATCCGCTTGTTACTGTTTCAAAGTGGTTGCACCGAGATGCCAGCTAGATGTTCTAATATGCATCGCTCCTACTATAATTCTGAGACTTATTTTTTGCTCTTAGAGGCAGTACAGTGCATAGTGCATTACATCCTTTACGAGAGTCATACGCCATTATTGGAAGCACTGCGCAGCCTTACGTTGAGGTATTTGTGTGTCTGGCTAAAAGGAAAGGCATATGCACTTCTATTTGAGATTTTAACTGATTCTGCACCATGCAGCCGCTAAATAGCTTGCAACAACTTGCACATCAAGTTTTTATTTTGGCTACACCCAAATGACACGATCAGCACTAACAGAATGTGGTCCACAGTACCACATATGTAGGCATTAGTACCCACCCCACTCTTGCCTGTAGCATCAACGCGAGCCCAGTCACTGCTGATGGTGTCGTAAGTGGTGACGACTAGGTCGCAACGTGCCAACTCCTCTGGGTCGACTGTGCGGTTGCGCCCGTGGTGCACGTGCACCTGCCATTGACCAGGAAGGTGTCGCTGCACCTCCTCCTCCCACTGGTGCAGCAGGGACAGCGGGCAAACCACCAGTGTCCCACCCCTGGGTGGCGCAGGAGCCGCTGTTTCACTGTCGTTCTTGCCATCTGCGTCAGCCAACAGTCATACCATAGGAACTAACGAAATGAAACAATATAATGACTAAAATAACTGATTTTAGGAAGAAATAAGCAGCGTAGGTGTGTCTCGAATACATGAGACTTGGTGTGATGGACATTGCCTCGCTATCTGTTGAGTTATTTATCACTTAAAGAAAAATATTATGTGCTAGGAATGGCCTTGTTGCAATGATAAAAAATGTGCAGTACATACTCATCACAAAGTATCTACTTACATCAGGCACATGTTCATAACATGCTGACTTGCAGTGCTACGCCGATCTTCTCATTATCACCACTTAGAGCTATTGTGCTTCACTTACGAGCGATTCTGTTAAAGGGCCAGTAAACAGGCTCCAACATTTTTTACACCCCACCCACACACACACAAACAAACTTGCCGGTTCCTACAGTAGATGCACCTGTTTCCCTTGCCTGGCCAATCCCCCTCGTAAGTGCAGTCTGATGAAAGCTTGCCCATAGGCAAAGTACGCAGCACTGAGCTTGTTGATAGGCTCCCTCCCTACGAAACAGCGCCTTGGCCCTGCGGTGATGTAGTTTCTGCCGCCCTATCCGCATTTTCATTTTTCTGTGCTGCCCTGTGCCATTTTGTAGAGGCCGAGGCTCCGGGAGAACCGGTATTGAAAGAACAAAAGCAGCCTGCGAGATAAATAAACATCTCACTACTTCACTACAAGGGGAAACGTGCTACTTGCTTCGTGTGTCTTGCCCACGTTACTATGACACGTGCTTATAAAAGCGAACCCTACTCGGTCGTTGGTTGCGTGCTGATGATACATCACAAACATCGTGTCATGTTGTCGAAGTGGGCGGAGTCGCGATGACAGGCAACTCCTTCGCGGAGAAAAGTGGCGAGCGGCCAAGCCGAAATTTGAAACCGGCTAAACGGATGTTCTAACCCCTGTAACTTCCTTAACTTCCTTATTATAGCTTGTATTCGCGAAATTCTTGTGGCAGCATGTTCATATAGCAATAGTGCCAATATTTTTCATTAAAATTTTTGGACTTCAAGGTTGTTTACTGCTTCTTTAAAACATACATTTGGATATCTCTGAATAAACCCAAGCGCCTTTTTAACTGCAAGACTTTCATATATCAAAAGCTTCCAACCTCAAATGTAGCTCTCCTCATATGTACACTTGCTCATGCCCATCGATTGTCCATAGAAGATGAAGTACACAAGAAAGCGGAGGTCAGAGAGAGAGAGAGATTATAGCAGCTCAGAAGATGACAACTGCTCATACCATGGTCTACATCCAAGAGCTAAAGTGCTATTGCGGGCCAAATATGCTGGCAGGCAAATACATGTGATGACGTAGGCCGACACAGCATCTAAAGCTGCCTTTTGTTCAGTACTGTCAAAAACTGAGACGTTTTTCAATTTAAATAAAGCTGTTTTTCAAGTTCATTGGTGCAACCGACCCATAAGCACTTGGAAGTTCGTCATAAGCAGCATTTGCATGCAGCCTACTTATTTTTCAACGGGTTCAATATCTTCACGCCTATCGAGGTCTACTACGATAAGTAAATGCTGCACTACCATATTCACACAAATGTAACAAGTTTTTTTCATGATTTTTGCTACCTTCAGTCAACCCTTATAATACAATCATATAATGAAATACACAAGAAATAGTACCTATTTGCTCTTCCTCGATGCAATGAAATTGTGCTTGCATTAAAATTGCAGTGACCAAAGTGACACTTTGCTTTTAGAGCAGATTTTGGAGCAAGAAAAATGCTAGTTTTGGAGTAGCTACAGTCGAATCCCGATAATTCGAACTCGAAGGGGCCTGAAATTTTGTTCGAATTAAAAGAAGCTCGAAATAATGAAAGCTAAGTAAACAGAGGGCTCCCCATGCAATGGCACATGTGCATTGAGCTAACACACGAGGGGGAAGTTTAAGAAGACTTACTTTTATTCACAAATCACAGGATATCTGTCATTAATTGAAATAATCGGTGATGCTTGTCTGCACACGTTTGCCTTGCAGCGAGTCAATAAATTTCGCACGCAGCTTGCAAAGCATGTCTACTTCCGCTTCAGCATTCTCCTGGCAAGAGAAGTTGCACGCGGCAATGTCCAGCGCCGACACTTGAAGACGACAACTGCATCGCCACTACCACCCTCTGCGCCAAAGCCGCAGCATGGCCAGCAGGTGACAAGAAAGGAGCGACCTGCTTCTCTCCACGCGGAGAGAACCAGATCGGCGAGAGAAGCAGATCTGCATTTGAAATAAACCAACACTCCACGGCAGCTTTTTTTTTTTTTTTTTTTTTTGCTCTATTCGCGCGCGTTGTTGAAAGGAGAAGGGTTACGTGGCAGGGACAGGAAAGGGGGGAAGCGTGGCACTGGCGCATGAGAGAGCCACACTCCACGACAGCTCTTCTTTTTCTTCTCTCTCTCTTTCTTTCTTCGCGCATGGCGTCGGAAGTAGAAGGGTCTTTATGTGGCAGGGGCAGAAAAGGGAGAAATCTGTGAAGGCGTGTCGCAAATCGGCACTTGAGAGATATACATATACAAAAGTAACATAAGCCAATGTGGTGTTCCTGTCATGATGATCTTGAGATGTACATACAAGTCCACGGTTAAAGTGAACACCTGTGTGAACAGCACGTTTAGATCATAGCGGCTTAGATATGCATAAGACTACTGGTGGTTAAACCTTCCGACTCCTCTTGACAGAATACTGACTTGCATGAAGAGTGTTTCTTAAACCACTTGCTCTTAGACTGCCAGGAATATTGATGATGTGCATTCGAGTGTTCCATTTAATAGTGGACCATACAGTACATAGAAAGCATCTCTGTTAGCTGGCGGTTGAGACATTCAGTTAGGACTTTAGTTTGTAGGTTGTAGGCGGTAGACAGCGTGTGCTCTGTGGCATGCGATCGAAGGAAGTCATCGACAACTTGGTAGAAGAAAAAGCAGTCGCGGTCCGTAAGCAGCTGCCGGGGTGCACCGTAGTGGAGGATGACGCCATGAAGAAGAAAGCCTGCGACGTCAGTGGCACAACTAGTTGGCATAGCCTTTGTCATTGCGTAACGAGTCGCATAATCTGTCGTGAGGAAGAGCCACTAGTTTCCCAGGATTTTAATTGCAAAAGCGCCAAGCAGGTCAAGTCCCACACGATAAAATGGTTCAGAGGGGACTTAAATTGAGTGGAGATATCCAGCTGGAGGCAAGGGAGGTGTTTTAGCACGTTGGCATAGGTCGCAAGTAACGACATATCATTGCACAGAGCAGTACAGTCCAGGCCACAAAAACTGAGGCCGCCTATGGTCGTATGTGACAGGCAATAGATGACAAGGAACAAAAAGCAGACGCTTAGGGTCTTCAATGCTGATGTTGTGGTGGTAGAGTATGCCATCATGCAGCATGATCATATGGGATTCGGCTTACAAGCACTGAAATTTGGGTAAATTTGTACTTGGGAAACGATTTTATCTCCAACAAAAAAGTACATGAAAATGCGTAAACCCGACGTTTCGGAATCGACTCGGTTCCTTCCTCAGAGAGAACTGTGGCTACGTTGCAGCGGCGTCCTCAAGGCACTCGCGGGGCGGTTAATGATCTCCCTTCCTGTCCCGTATTGATGCGGCGCCTAGTATGTGTGCACACGCCAAGGGGGAAGGGTTCCAAGGTGTATGTTTTGGGCCTTTCGCTGTATATGCAACGACTCAACTAGTAGCCTCCTTTTACAGCTAGTCTCGCTTTCAAGGATGGTCGTTGCATCGAAATTTATCTGGTGGTCAAACGTCTCAGAATGCTCAGCGACGATGCTGCGCTCTTTGTCGAGCTTGAGGACATCGTTGGCGTGTGCCTGTGCGGTCAAAACAACGTAAGTGGCTGCCTGAGGTGACAGATGCACATCTTGACAGACACACATCTTGTTTACATACAATAATCACCGCACATTGTAAGAAACAAATACAAGCAGATGGTCACTAAACACTAAGTATGATAAGCTACTTATATTTAAAATACCAGCACTTGTGAGAAGTAATTTGAAATCAATAAAGTTGATCCCCAAATAATAGAAGCAGCCACCATCACATGTAACTATCGCCAGAGCAGCAGCTTACAATCGGAACAAGATCAAAACAATATGTTATTTTCATATTTCACCAAAATAGCCAGTACAGCTAAATGAGCTACTATGCATAACATGCCAGTTCTTGCAGCACAAATGAGGTGAAAGCGGATAAAGTGGTAGTGGTACATTTATTAAGTCACACATCAAAGCCATCACAGCCGGAGTTAATAATCAATATTATATCGAACTGGCATCCCCTGAATATCACCAAAATAGTCAGCTTGTCAGGTATAAAACGGTATAAAAAGGTATAAAAAGGTATATAAAGCCAAATCAGATATGTGTAGTGCCAGTATTGTGGCAATTGGAATATGTGAGTATGCAGATAATATGCATACTGGTGTACCAGCATATTAGGATGACAGTACTATAGAGCTTGTTATTGGTTTTGTTCAGCCTCGCTGGATGATCATACAATTAAAGTAAATTGTTTTGAGTTTCCCAATGTCATTTCAAAGCAAGTCATAGCAGTTACTAACAAGTAATACACCTTGGAGCAGCATTTCTTTTTTTTGGAGCAGTTTAGACAAATTGTAACAGTGCTTCCATCACTGCAATCGAGTCAAATACAGTGTATAGAAATGTGCAAGGGCTGCACCCTCCACTTGGCAGAATAAAATAATAAAATAAGGAAGAAAAAATGTACAGCGAAGAAGTAGGTAATTGTATTCGGTGCTCCAGCACATGCACACATATCAGAAAACCTTTGTGCTACATGCTTTTACATGCAGCCATCACACAAGTCTAAATTTTACACGAACAATACTATAAGCACTTCTGCTCCGACACAAGTCTCTGTGATAGAGGATTTCCTTGATGTAAGTATCATTATTTTCTTTATTATATTCTACGAGAATTTATACTTGTCCACAAGTGTGCATCTCCAAGTGTCCTATTTGTTACCATGGTTCAACATCCTTGGCTCGAAAGCTTTTTGCACTTTGCTTGACCTTAGTGACTCCCCACTGCCATTGATTTTATCTCAAAAGCATACAGCCCTGCTACACACAAAATGCATTCCACCGTAGTATGTAAACCATCCTTGCACAAGACAGCCGATTTGAGTACTACAACATAGACCACTTATAACTTGCCAAAGTCGCATGTATTTTTAATCTAAGCAGTACTTCACTAGAACTAAAACAGCTTTTTTCAATGTTTGCACATGTGCAAAACATTTTGATCAAGTAGCTGTGCTTTCCCAAGAATTGAGGGACACTACTGGCATGTTTGCATCTGTTTAAATCTTCGACTGTTAAATATTGAATCATTCTAAACGTAAGGCCACCCCTGACCACAACTACAGAAACATCTATCTAACATGTCAGGCTTAGACTGAGATGGCATGATGTCGTGGTAAGCTTGCCCTTACCAACATATGGTGTAAGAGAGGTCACAGCCTGAAATCAATAGATACCATGCCAAAATCATGACGACACTGCAGGCGAAGAAGCACATAGACAGGACAGGTGCTTATCCTGTCTATATGTTTCTTTGCTTGCAGTGTGGTTGTGCTTTTCGCACGAAATTGTGTATTGAAGTCAGACATGCACCAACTAGCCCAAAGTGAGTACTACAAGAAAGGCCCCATTCACCAGCTGAGCCAAAGTCAGCAGACATGAAATGGAGTTCACAGTTTGGCTGCTCTTATAGCTGCTGATACATCCCTTTCATACATCCCGTCTCAAAACCCTGCTGGGTCTGTAAGCTCATGCAATAGTAGCATAGGTTAAAGCGTTGGTCATAAAGACTAGAAGCATTTACAATGGCGAAACACTGTTTAACTGATGAAAAAGTGAGGTCACAGGTGCAACATCTAATATTGTAACATTGTTTATTTTTCACACAACAAATAGACAGCTCCAACACCAGTAATGCGATGCGATGGGAACATGAGTGCGCACTTGGTGCGGAGTGTGCACTGCTGACACTGAAATAAAAACGCCACCTTCCTTAAAACCTACACTGCAATGCTCTCTCTATCTCTCGGCTTCTCGTTCGTCCATTTAGCATCTCCTCTGTATCTCCTGGCCTGCTCAGCATACCCCCCATGAGAAAGAAGCCTGTGCGCTCCCTCAGTTGTCCTTGGGATTTTGCAGATGCCGCATTATAACTGATCGTTCATCTCAGGACCACTGCACAATGAGCAGTAAGCGGACACATTGTGGAAGAAAAAGGAGGCAAAAGAAAGAACCATGTCTTGCACTCTAAATTTGTTACATTATGAGTGGCCCGAGCTGTATTAAAAATTAGCACCGCCCGACAACCACAAGTCTAGCGAACATTCCCAAATAACACAACCACATCCAGTCCCTTGGAACGACCATGATAAATGAGGAAAAAAAAAAGGCAAAAAAGTACGATCAGAGTCACATACACAGCCATTGCAAACTGGTTCAAAATGAAACTACAATATGCCGCAACCGCTGCACAGTAAATTTAATTTTAACTTCATGTTCAAAGTAGATAAAAAGTAACCACTAGTGTCATCCAAAATCAAATGCGGTCAATCTTGAAAATCTATAGGTAGGACAAGAAATCCTAACTGGTAGACTTATTTTGCTTAAAAACAAACTTGTCCAACTTGAAATTATATTTTATGCACTTGAGGCAGCTTTAGGTTGCACCAGAGACCAATTTTTGTTTGTTTTTATCTCTCACGCCTTCAAGTAAGCATCCAGTGGCACTGCCTGCGGCATGTTTCCTTGCCTGCGTGCCTGCCTGCAATTGGTGAAGAAAGGCGACCACGGCGTACGCCACCGCTCATGAGAACAACAAAAAAGTGTGTGTGCCTAAAACGACCAGTAAGGTTTTTGTTTTATTAATTAAACTTGATGAAGCCTGCAAAAACCGCACACGGTTTCAGTTTTTTACTTTCACCGGCACCGACCAGTGTTGTGGGCATTAATCCCATCGATGGAAGGAGACATAACGTGGACAGAAAATTAAAAATTTCTACGCACTTTCCAGAGAAACCACTGCAACACTTCACATGGTACGCTTTCTATTGTGACACAAAATAGGAGAGCGATAAAGGACGGTAGACAGTCCCTTTAACAGTTTGCCTCAGGCGAAACTCTGATGAATGTGCATTCACAGCAGCCTACTGCACAGTTCCTTATTGGTCCGCTTGTGTGAGTCCCACAAAGGCATTCGCAGGTTTCTTTTTTTTTATGGAAATGGATGTCTTGAGCATAGACCGTGGTACAAAAATAAACTTGGCTAGTTTTTTACAGGTATAAAATTTCAGGTGATAAGAATATATTTGCTTCCCCATAGAAGTTGTAGCGCCAAGATTCTACAGTACTTTTCCATGACACTGCCAAAAATCCCAATAAATATGCTGCTTCGCCTTATGAGATATTGGGTGCTAATTTCTGCCATCTTTCACAAATTCACAAGCAGGTGCTAGAAACCACTGCCAGATGGTTTGCAGCTGCAATCAAGCAAGCTTTCCCTTGAGTGATTAAGATGATGATAGTGTGTTGTTGCCACTGACGTGACCGAGGAGCGAAGTCACAGGCGGACACCCAGGCGCCAGGGAAGGAGAACCCTTGTGAGGCTTCTTGACGACACAAACACATAATTTATTTACATATTTACAGGAGTTCAATAGACTAGGCGTCGGGACGTGCCATTACGTGAGACACCACAGGCCCAAGCGAAGGCCAGAGAGAGAAGCGTGGCAGCTTGGGCTTGTTGACATGACGATAGTTATAGCCCGAGAACAGAATGACACCTTCTTCGTGTCCTTCTTGTCTCTGTGTCGTCGTTATGTTCTCGCGCTATAACTATCATCATGCCAGAGAGAGAGCCCGACTGCACACGCGACGCGCTTTTATACCCCTTGTTCGTGCACGTGCATCTTCTCAGACGCGGGCTGTGCGTCCCAGCGATGCTGATGCGCGTTTCCTGCAGCGCACACAAACACCTCCTGCGTCCCTACAAGATACGGACAGCGTTTCACCGTTAGGCCGATGAGCGTCCCTCGCAAGCCATCTCCTCGCTGTGCCGGTCATAACACCACACACAATGCCAGCCCCTTCAGAGACTTCTCAACAGCGACATGTTTTCAGCACTTGTAACGAATCTTCATGTCATTCTCTTCAAACTTTTATTTATCATGCTTTAGGCAAATTTTTTGCAGCAAGCACCTACCAGTCAGCCAGCACTATATCGCATCCAATACATAGCAGATAATTGCATCATTAGATATGGTTTGCTTTTACATGAAGACACTGGAAAAATTGAGAAATCTGGAGAATTTTATCATTATCAGCAATATATCATTAGCATATAATTATACATAGATTGCACAGTATAAACAAATGCAAACACAATAAGTTCGTACCAGTTTTGTCATTACTCTTGATTTTCGCAGCCAACTTGTGCGCCTTGTCCCTTGACCGCTGCTGTTCCACAAGTGACAACATGGTCAGCGTCTTGCCCAGACCCATTGCATCAGCTGGGGGTGAGAGATGAAAATGAAGGGCAGCCACAACATCCCAATTTACATGCAATTGGAGGATGCTACGCAAAAGACGCTCCACAAAAATTTCCCAGCCGGCCTTCACTGCTAGGCTATAAATATGTATCTAGTGTTTGTACGATGCAACATGCAACAAGTACAGCACAATCTCGACAAACCGAAATCGCTTAAACAGAACATTATGTTGTTTGGTTTCGCACTCTGGACCGTAATAAAAGCAGCAGGTTAAATAAATGAAAGCAAAGTTTAAGCCACTATTTATAACCTATTTATAAACTAGGGTTAAATATCCTTAAAATGAATGTCTATATCAAGAATTCCTCGATATTATGACATTTCTTTACCCCCTGCCTTTACTGTACAGAAACACATGTATTTGCAATCTCTATGTAACAAAGTGCCAACTGGAAGCACCCTTGGTATAAAGAATTTTCGCCGCCAACAACTAAGAGATTTGCCCCAAATTTTGTCATTTTGGCACAAGCAGGAACCACACGCAACCTTTGCGGTTGCCCCACGAAGTGGCAGCATTGCACATGGTGAGCTCGAAGCCCCAGCGACTGTGGGCGAAAGCGAACACTTGTTTGTGAGTGCGGCATAACGCAGCCAGGAGCCTATTATTTTTCTAGGTGGCGTTGGCCAGGCGAGCCTACACCCCTAGAGCCCGCGTTCTTGTGCATGCACAGGCGAGCCTTTGTCCCAGCCACTCATTGGTGCCACCACGCTACACCACACTAACCACAACAGTTTTCCTAAAGAAAAGGAAAAAAAAAAGAGAGGCTTCTGAGTTGGCAGCAATGCTCCTCGGTTCTAGCGCAAGTCTCTGAAATACACTTGGTTAACATGACACAAGATGACACCACTAAAAAAATGTACTCTTGTGCTTGAAATTTGCGATGCTAATGAGGGGTCGTACTGCATAAGTAATGTGCTTTTCTGAATATTCCTTGGTATCCCTGTCGTTCGCTATTTGTTTTCAATGCCAGGCGCGCATTCATTGTTTCCCTGTGCGCACATGAAGCCGCCTCTGACAACATGCCGCATTGCGACTTTTTTTATAATGGAGACAACTGTGTCAGCCCTACTGAAGGGATGTCAGATTAGACGCTGATTGAAACTGTCAAAGTCCACAGCGGCAACGACGAATCTTTGAAGATTGACTTGTAAGTTGTAACGTGATTTACCGTCTTTTGCCATGCAACGATTTTGCAAGAATGAAGCCTTTCACATGGGCTCCAGCAATGCCCGCTTGAAAAAAGCAGGTCCACTAGCCTGTTTTCGCACACAACCACATACACAAAAGAACTCTCACTCTCGCCTCACTGTCGCCATGGCCTCGAGCGCTCCAAGCGTAATGCCGCTGCTTTATGCTCCGTCATTGGCAAAACAAGGTGCATTGCCGGAACTCATCTCAAAGGTCATGGCTAGCCAATGACGAAGCAGCATTGTATTGATGCCCTACAAACATTCCGTATTGCCATCTATTATGAATAAGCAACAGAGCAAAATAGCACGGTTTTTTGCTGCTAAATAAGTTGTGCACCAGTTCTACCTTGAGTTCCCCTTTTGTTTAATTTGTGCATTTCTTTTCCAAATTTTTGGGCTGAAACTGGATATAACGATAACCTGTTTGTAACAAATTTCCAGGAAAACTTGTCAATTTCGTTATACCCAGGTTTAACTATAAAACCATCATTATAGAATGAAACTAAACAGATAACTGCCCATTCCTTTCCTTTTGACTTTTGTCATTCACTTCTTCGCATTTTTACGGCTAAATTAGATGCCTCCTGAAATGCAAAAAGCGACCATCAGTGCTGGTGCTGTCAACACAAGTGGCTCAAAAAAAATCGTCACGCGACATTTCTAATGCCTTTGATCCCAGATGCAGCACATTGGCTACAGAAGACTTTCAGATAATCGTGGGAGGGGATTGTCTCAGCTGACACATCTAACTGAAAAGAAGAAAGAAAACAGGACGGCTTTTGCCTTCGTATCATTTCAGGCCAGAGTTGCACTCAAGGTTGGCTCTGGTTTCCTTGGAGCCTGCTTCCACGACGACACCGAAAGGCCAAGGCAATGTGCTACACGGTAGACAATGGCCAATGTGAACAATGAATTTAAGACTCGTGGTATCACAAAACAGCCGTTACCATAAAATACACCACTAAGAATTTTTTTATGTGTGTGTGGTGGAAAGACCCTGTTGTACACTTCCGCAAGTTATTCTCCTCATAGAAAGAAAAGGCTATTTGTGTTTTTCTGTAGTTTACTCTGCCTTTTTATCACACTTTCCCTGGCTAATGATCAAAGACGTTATGCAAGCTCCCTCCTGCTATCACTACATTTCACCCCTACTTATGATTATGTTGAAGCAGGTATCTCCCAAAGAATGACCGCTTGTGACCTACCCGTTTATCGCTCCGCAGGACGCAATTACATCCGTTTCCGTGCAGCGCTAAATTACACAAATGATGCCACAGTAGTTGCGTTTTCTGTTTTGGGAACTCAGAAAAACTAACTCCATGTTGTTGGCAATAAGAAAGATTGTTATAGTTTTTTTACTCGTTTTTCTTTTTGGACCGGCACACAACCACAGTTTTTTTTTGATGCAGTTCACTTACGCTACAGATATGCGCGCTGTTTGCTTTGGTGCCTAGGAGGTCAGTGGGGATTCTTCCAATATGGACTACTCCTTAAGTGCCTAAATCAGAATCTAATTAATTGGACTTAAGTTTGTCTAACGAGGACAGATTTAAGAGTTCAGACTTGATGATGGAGTGACATCTCAAAAGCGTGCGTTGCGAGGTGATCTGGATCGGATTAAAGGTGTCCTAGGTGTTTATTGTTAAAACAGAAAGATTTTTTTAGCATAAAAGTACTCTGGTACACTTACTTTTGTATGTCTGTGAGCTATGTTTATTATTAATAATTTTTATTTATAAATAGTTGTATAGGTGTCTTTTTTTTTTAGGATTTTGCTCGACCCTCCAACCAATAAACTACGTGTATATAACAAAGATAATTTTTTTGTCTCTTTAATGCTACAAAAAAAAACTTCACACTATTTTTTTCTTATGTAGAATCATCTGGACAATTTATCTCGGCAATAAAAATTACACAGTTTTCAATAGCATTTTGCAAAGAAATCCAGCCCTCAAATGGCTGGAACACACTGCAGTGGTTGTGGATGGTTATTGTGACTTATGTGGGTAATCAGGGGTAATATTGATTATTGATGAAAACCATCGGCTGAATATTAGTCTTGATGTAAAGAAGCCCCCCAATTCTCACCAGTGCTGATTGAGGTTAGGCATTAATAGTAAAAGCAGTAAGCACCTTTACCAAGGCCCAGAGCTGTTCATGGGCACCTTCAGAGATGAATGAATGACGTTTTCTCCTGTATAAGAATCTTGGCACGAACCAAGAAGAAAAGCACTACACCGCAAGCTGTGGCAGCAAACTGTGAACACGTATAGTGTGAAGAAACAATAAATTATTTCACACTGATGAGGTATTTTTAATAAATTCTATTGCTCTTTTACTTCGTAATAATTGGTTAAGAGTACAAGTTAATTATACACAAAATAAATTAAAATGGCATACTATCTCTATTGGACATGTTTACATCTCCAATACAGGCAGTACAGAACAAAACGGAAGTCAATTAATTACAACAACTCCACCACGGTGATCTAGTGGCTAAGCTACTCGGCTGCTGATCTGCAGGTCGCAGGATCGAATCCCGGCTGCAGCGGCTGCATTTCCGATGGAGGCGAAAATGCTGTAGGCCTGTGTGCTCAGATTTAGGTGCACATTAAAGAACCACAGGTGGTCGAAATTTCCAGAGCCCTCCACTACAGCGTCTCTCGTAATGATGTGGTGGTTTTGGGACGGTAAACCCCATATATCAAATCAATTAATTACAAGATAACACAGAGAGAACAGACTGTCTACCTAACTAGCTTCGAACTAGGCACTCAGTTATCACAGACACAGCCACAAATCATACAAACAAGTTAGCAATATCTTAGATGGGGAACATCGATGGTTCTTGGGCAAGTTGGTTCATGAAAATTGTGGCAGAACAACACAGTTGATATTCATCGCTGTGTCCAGTGTGTTCTGTGTCTCATCTTCAGTGCTGTCCTGTTACAATGGTTACATGTTCAGTCACAAATACACAGATTCACACAAGCTCCACGCTCATTTTACAGATGCAAGTGTGTTACCGAGTTATGAAGTGTGCAAATAGTCACAAGTGGGAACAGGGGCAAGCACACATGGATGGCGATACTGGACGGACAGGAACATGAGTGGCATTGGTGTAGCCAAAAAAGAAACGGAGAGCATATACTGCTACATGGTAATATCTAGAAGATGCTCAATTGTTCTACTCGTTATCCACCGGCTAGGCAGTGATATCTAACAACTGATTCCCTCCTATAACGACCTATCTGCCATGGCTCACTGGTTATTGTGCTAGGCTCCTGACCTGAAAGACGTGGTTTCGATAGCGGCGATCACATTTTGATGAAGGGGAAATGCTAGAGGCCCATGCCCTTTGTGATTTCAATGCACGTGAAGCAGTGCCAGCCGCTCAAAATTATCTGCAGCCAGCCGTCTTCTGCAGTGTCCCTCATAGCCTCAGACTCTTTGGAATGTTGAACTTTATATATACCATTTTTCTGTTATTGCGCATCGCTTAGCCCGTTCAGATGCCACCTATGAAGAACTGTCTGTAAATGTGCCAAATCACTACATTATTTCAAGGCACTCAATATTCAACCGCAACAAGAGTAATGAGAAAATTGTTGAAATTATGTCTTATAACAACTCAATCCACTTAAGTTGTATTTAAATATCTCTTTATCTAGAAGTCATTGATGCTTACTTTTGGCATAAACGAAATCAAATCTCAGGCTACAAATATTGTGCAAACTCATTTTTAGTTATGTCAATCTTGAGCAGAAAAA